ATTTTAACAGATCTAGATCTGTGGCTAATTAACTGCTCACTACTTGAGTCTACTCCCTTTTACCCGCTGACCCCTGCACTGTAAAATTATTTCTTGAAGGCAGGATGTCAAATGATCATCTTAACAAGTTTTAGATATTGCTTGTGGGAACGAAACATTACTTTTCAGGCAGTGCTTTTGGAGCGCATCCTTGCTTTAGCCATGTGAAAATAAAGTGTGTGCCCCCATTCAGTCAAGGGAACCCCTGCTACCTGTCTGCTTACTGACATCTCAGTCTCCATTCTGACTTGCGCCGTAAAGTCCTGACTCACATCCTGCTGCTCCTTTCACAGGTTTCTAGGAATACATTTTATAATCTTCAGATTTGGTGACAACATTGCAGTTGGCAGAGATCAGGCTGTGATGTCTGACCTGCAATGACCCACTGTGAGCTGTCTTCTTCAATACCACAGTGATATCAGCCAGTTCTGAGTCCCGTTGGACCTTACTCAAAATATAACTGGCATTCACACACACAGCCATTAAGCAAGTTCCTTTGCACCTCATGGGCATAGGAGTCTCCACCATCTGCTTATAATTTCAAACTGACCACTGAAATGAATTCTTCACTAGAATGATAGGGTTAGGTGCTTTCCTTTCTAATCTGGATTTTTTTTTTAACCAGATAAATGAATTCAGTGGTAAAAACAGACTCTTTCCCTGCCACCACAAAGGGATCAAATTCTCAGCTGCTAATGTAAATCAGCACAGCTCCATTGAACTACACTGATTTTACACCAGACAGTGATCTGACCCAAAGCCCTTGTTTCTCTCTCTCCCTCTTTCTTTAATGTTGTGCAGTTTAAAATGGGAGTCTTCTCTGAAAAACAGTTATAAAGAAGTGGCATCTTGGGACTTTGTGTTTATTTTGGCTCACTGGCTTCCAAGCTGTACATGTTTAGGCTCAGCTTACTGGTAAAACTTGAGAGGGTTTTATTTGATTGACTTCCCCACAGTCACTTGGGCTATGAGTCTAAAGAAAGGTTCTTTCCCTTTTATGCTACCTTGCCATTAATAAAGGGTCTGCAAAAACCAAATGATGCCTTCCATGACATCTGTGCAATGCTTTTGTCTGGCAAGTGTCAGCTTGTTTGTTTTTTTTTCCTTCTAGCTGGGTTGGTTCTAGAGTGCCAACATGCAGTAAACATGCCCTCACATATATGTATGTATGTATGTATGCATATGTATATGTAAGTGTCTGTATATGTGTTTACGTATGTGTGGGTGGGTGTGTATACATACATACATACACATACACACACGCACGTGCACGCGCACACACATGCATATATGTGAAATGTATACACGCAGTCACAAAAGTCAGCAAATGAGACTTTTGAGTACACCCAGGGAACAGGCCAGCCAGGTAAAATAAAAAAGGAGGCAACTTTTATGCAACCACTTTTCAGAGTAGAACTGCACTTAAGAAAAACTGTTCCAGAGTTGTTATGGGTTAGAAAGGCTAAGAGCAAGTCTTACAAGTGTCATGTTAATTGCTTTGACAACTCGACAACTCTGAGAGTGTCACATGTGGAAGGTGGCGTTTTGTATTAGGTCTCAAATCCAAATATATTACTGCCTGTGGTAGCCACATCATAAAATCATGTAGTTCTGGAAACTTACTATGAGCCTGGCACAGTATTTCTTTTATGAAGTGACTTGGTGCCAACCAAACCCTAGCTGGAATATGAGCTAGCAATTCTGAGACTGCAGGAAGTTCTCCAGTGCCACCTACTGTTAAATTATCAACAGTAGAATCTCAAAACGAAAGGCAAATCTATCGGCATTCTTTGAAGATGCCAGCCTTCTCCAGATTACACTTTCATTTTCCGCTGCGGTGATAATTAGAACACCAGCAACTACTGAGACTAGTGGCATGAGAAAAGAAAGCTTTAACCCTTTCCCTGAGTCTTTCAAGAACCTTCTTTTATTAAATGATTAAAGATTATGTAACATTTATGCTGTTTAATTACTAGTTTTTAAAACAAGCCAAACAGAATTTTTTCATGGCAGTGAAACATGACGGGACATGAAAGATAGTTCAATGCTTTATGCTTAATAGGTTGTTAGGCATGAAGCTGGAGGCTGAGAGCTGGTGACTACGCAACAAGGTGTGAATTATTGCACCATAATTCCTGCCCTAGAGCAATCATTAACCATTTACATTTTTAAATCTATTTTCCCACATCATAAAAATTAGATCTGGAAAGTACTTACTAGTAGGAGAAATACAGGAAGGTTTGGGCCTAGATCTTCAAACTGGTGTAAACTGTTGCAGCTCCCTTGACTTCAGGCTATTTTGATTTCCTTTTAAATGATTCCGAAATCCTATTTGACCCTAGAGGCCCTTGGGCCTTTTTATTTTCCTTTCATTTAAATGGGAGTAGCTCTCTCTCTCTCTATCCCGATCTTTTTGGAGATATTCTTAATTAGGAAGTAACTTGCACTTATTTTGAAGTGTGTTTTCATTAAATTCATTTATTTGCGTGTGCACACTTCCCCACTCCTGTTGCAGGGCTTCCATCACCTCCAAGGAACCTTTTTCTGCCCTGATGTAAGCTACAGAAAACCCTTAAACAGATAAAACAGGTGGAACGGGTCGGTTTCTCCAATAGCCGTTTGAACAGATGTACTAGGGATTGACTGGGGAAGGCCAGGGGCATATCAAGTAGTTTCTGTGCCCTGGGCACCAGCAGCAGCAGCAGAAGCAGCAGTGTCTGGGCTGTTGATGGCTGTTACCAGCAGGGATGGCTGTTGTTCTTGCTCTCCTGTAAGTTGGCTCCTGGAGCTGGTGCCCTAGTTGTCTACCTTAGGCTACTAAGCAAAAAGTTCAAACTGTATATTTTTCCCTACACTTAGTGCCACATTACTCAGCTGAGTAGACCCACTAAACTCAATTGGCCTGGATGCCTGAGTAAGGTGATCAGTTCAGGATTGAGCTGTTTTGGCATGGGACTATTGGCAAGCTTGCACTCCCAGTTTCTACAGATTATTACTTCTGACAAAAGCCCTACAGACTGAATTTCTTTAGCTGTCTGCCTCTTGCTTCTAATAAATATTACTCACAGATTTTAAACAAAGAAATGATTTTAGATTTAGAAACAATTGGGGGGGGAGGGGTTGTGCCCATATTTCCTGTTTGTGCCCTATATTTCCTGTAATCTAATAGGCTGGCTTTCTAAAGCAATGACTCAAATGAATCATTATAAAGGAACTCTGCACACAAGAGGAGATACAGTACTTCAGCGTTTTCATCCCGGCAGAATTGGAATGTCTGTTTATCAGTGTAAAAATCTTTTGATGGACTTAAAAGTTTATTCTGCAGATGGCCTTACAAGTAATGCTTTAAAAGGCCAGGTTACTCTGCTTTTCTATAACTCTCTCCTTCCAAACAAATGAAACAAACAAAATGTAAATCGCATCTGCATAAAACACAACCAACTAATAATCTCCAGATGTGATTTCTTATGGAAGATCAAAGTCCTTCATCTTGAACTTGAGAGCATTTCCTCCCATGCTGGTATCAGCTTTATGTAAATACTGCCTGCTAGTCAGATATTTGCTTCTTTTGAAAAAGACAAAAAGCCAGTTCAAGCTGGAACAAAAAATTTTTACTGCTGGTACAACTAGAGGATAATCACAGTGTTGTGGACTGTTTTTAAGAAATAAATCTTTCATGCTTTAAATGTTAATGAAAGTAAAAGGCAGTTTCTGCAGGTACAACAAGACCCACTTCTATGCCTGTGAAAGCTCACCAAACAAAAAAGAGTTGTTCTTATGATGGAAAAACTGCTTTAGGCAAACATCTTCTCCTGCTCCCTGTCATAAGTCTCTGACCTCAAATTGAAGACAAACTTGTTTTGAAGCCTAATGTAATATTTTTCCCCATTTTAATAAGAACTTGTATGCATCCATACATTTCAGGATTTCACCTGGGCACAATGGAAAGCCTCTGAAAAGCCTATGCTCATAAAATATCCTGTATTCCCTATTTTGCAGTTCTAAAGAGGTTTACATAACAATTTCTATTTCTAAAGTTCATTCACTGCTATTCATTCATCTCTTTCAATGGAATTTCTTTATTTTCTGTGTAATCACCTACATTTTCACAGAACTACGGCTGAGATTTTCAGAGTTAAGTGAGTTGAAACTCCCAAATCTTACTGAACCGACCACATAACTCCCTTAGGATCATTTGACGTTCCCACTCTAAACTGTATCACATTCTAGCATTGCTGTCTTCTTCTTGGTGCTGTGCAAGACTTGCTTTTGTGGCAGAATAAGCAACTACTGTATGACCTGAAATATGTACCTCCACAATGAATGGTTTGTGCATTGACACTTTCACCTTGGGAAGCTGGATCAACTTCTCCCTTTCCACCATCAATGTGAATTTTCCAAAAACTTCACGAGGAAGATTCAACTGATGAAAAATCAAATACACCAGTTGTATCTTAAAATGTGATTCATCTGAAGGTCTCTCAGCAATGGGGAATGTAGGGACTGAAATGTATTTATAATAGCATATAAGTACGTCTCCACATAAACCATCTGGTTCAGTACTCATGTTTGATCACAGACCTTAGTGGTGAAAAACAAGCGCTTTCTCTCTTTCATTGCAGATACAAGACAAGTACAGCCATCTCCTCCTTGGTCCTATGATCAGTCCTACCAATACTTGGGATCAATTGCAACACCTTCAGTGCACCCTGCCACACCAATTTCACCCGGGAGAGCTAGTGGCATGACATCCCTCACAGCAGAACTTTCAAGCCGACTTTCGGGTAAGTATCTGAAAGTTATTATTGAAAAGATAATGAGCCACCATCAAAGCAATGGGACTGTTCCCACAAAATGATACCAGGGGTAGGAACTTCCTACTGTGCTGTTGCTTCTTTACTCAAGCTGTAAGGAAGCACATTCTGGGCTTCAAGAAAAAAACCTCTTAATGGTTTACTTGGCTCCGTGTGAGAGAGAGAAATCTGGTTTGGGTACAAACTGTCATTGTCAAGAACCAGAAAAAGAAATTAGTTTTAGCTGCTTTGAAATTGGATATATGTGGAACTATAAAAATAGTTTAGATAGCTGGAGAGCAAATATATCTGCCAAAAAATGAATGCCATAGATATTTCAACTCTGCTTCCTTCCCTCATACTAAATGCAGACCAGATCATAGTAGATTATGGACACACACCTTGAATACAAGGTGGTGTTTTTTGACACTTTAAGTGTTGTATTGTACTGTCATGTTACATCTGTCAAATTGCAGCAAAAAACTTTACAAGCCAACATAAAAATGTAGCCTGTAAAGGAAAGTTAACCACCTGGTTTTGTACTGTATACAACTGACCATCTGCTGAGATTGTTTCTCCACATCTTGAAGCAACATGTGGGTGTTTAGCAGCATGAGTTTTCTTAAAATGAGCAGAAGCCATACAAGCTGAAGTTTTTTACATATGCCTAAAAATTTACCCGTTGAGGCAAATATTAATCTCATTTAAGCATGCACGGCTCCTACCAAAATCATTGAGAGGCACTTGAATGACATATGGTCTACGCTGCTACCAGACATGCAATGATCTGGACCTCCTAAAATATTTTACCCAAAGATTTGATTATTATTACTTATATAGGCTTGGGTGAGATTCTCCATAGAAAGTAGTTCAGTTGTTAGATGATAGCAAGATCATACAGCTTGTCAAAATACTTTTTTTTTTAAGCAATATTTCAAAACCATTTCTTTAAAAAAGGGACTTCTGTAAAGCCTGTTCAATTTTTGTTGAAAAAATGAAATAAAAAAAATAAGTTTTGATTTTTTCCTTCCACTTTCTGTCTTTTGCTTGATTGATTTTTATTGATAATGCAGAATATTTCAAACAAAACAAATATGTCTTTGAAGTTTTAAAGTTTAAGAAAAAGAGGCTGTTTTGTTGAAAAAAATTCTAAAGCAAAAATTTAGATCAGTTCTAATAGAGATTTCAAATGACAAAAAAGACTGTGTGTTTTAACTGTATACATTTTATAACTGGTTCGACACTCTATTTGTATTTTTAAAGATAGATATTTCCCATTCTTACTTTTACCCCCATTTCTCTTATAACCCAGACAAGATATGAACTACTGACTAGAAAACTGCTTACAACTCCGGCATATATCCCAAATTCATCTAACTCTTACTGTAACACAAAGCTTGAATGCTGAGCTCAGGGATATTTGCATAAACTTATTTTGCTATATTATTATTTATTTGAATGACCATAGCCATGCACCAGGACTATGTAGTGCTAAACAGTGCGCACACACAAAACAAAAGCTGTAAACCTCTAAGGCTAAGTATAGACAGTCCAAAAGTCTGAGGCTGAATTGATTCAATCTTTGTAGGTTAGTCTAAGCTGCATAGATTGAACCAATAAGCAAGTGAATGGACATTCACTTTTGATTCCGGAAATGCAGCCATGTGCCTGCAGTGGCCCAGGCCAGAAACCGGTGGGGTGAGTGGGGGAGGGGAGGAGGAAGAACTGCGCTACAGCAGGCCTCTTTGCCCAACTAAAGCAGACAGCTTTGGCTAAGCCTAGCTCACCCACCCTGGAAAGGGACATTTGTGGGGGAGGCACAAAGTATCCTGGGATGCTGGGGGACTATGAGTTATATTGAATCTGGAGGGGATCTGGGACAGAAGTTCAATAAATCAATTTAACCTAACTCAGTTAAGTTTGATACTGCATCCATCCAGGTTTACCTTAATCTTGTTCCAGCCATTTTGAAAGTGGTTTATGTGCACTGAACTTCTGTGGTTTGAACTGAACTTCTTATAGATTTTGAACTGTTTTACAATCACTTTTACCAATTTATGTGTAATTTTTGTCCACAGTTAAACAGTTTATAGTTTAACTAGAGATGCACTGTATTACTTCTTAGTTCAGAGGTAAGGTTATGCATTACAGCATACTGGATAAGCTTGGGGTAAGCAATGTGTTTCTTCATCTGTTGGAGGTAGAAGCACATTTCTTGTGGAGATACACAGTCTAACAGAGACCATATTTAATGTGATATCTGGGGAATGAGGGAAGCTAGCAGATGTCCTTTAATTCATCATTGCTTTACATTTCCATTGTGAGTAGGTTTTGCCTAAGCATCCTTAACAATTTGTTTGTTATAGTTTTGTTTCTCTAATATTATATATATTTGAAATATTACTTTATATTTGGGGGAAAATATCTCTTTATATCTTAACATGCCCCCAGCTATAACCTTCTCCCTCATGCTCTAGGAAATTCCAGGGAGACCCATTTCTTCCTGGGGAAGACAGTGGTGATGAGAGGACTGAAAATCTGGTTTCTAAATGGAAGCTTGCACCTCTGTCTTCACTCCAGAGTAGCCCCTGCCATTGCATAGTACTGTGTAACTGCAATTTAAAACTGAAATGTGGTACAGCGTAGGGGAAGGAAACGTTCAGGTGTCCATTGATCTTCTTAAATAAAAAGGCAGCCTGACAGGCTCAGAAATGAAGCCTGTAGCATGCATCAGAGTTCTTCTGTGAAACTTTTAGAAATTCATCAAAGAGATCTGGCTGAGTGGCTGACAAGCTTTCAGAACCAGACACTGCTGTACGTCTGCTGTGCCTTTTAATCCAGTCACAGCAGACTGCTTTGTTTTTCCTTCTTCCACTTACTAATGCTTCCTCCTGCACACATACTCCTTTCATACAGACTCCACACCTTGTCTGGAAGGAGCAGTCTTCTGAGAAGGTTTTTTTATTATTATTATTGTTGTTATTTTAATAATATATAGCTGCCAACTCAAGGGACGGACAAGTTCCATTAATCTGAGTCATGATGAAGAGCCTTTTAAAGAGGCCATTATCTGCTCAGGTTGTTTAATCCCTTTGCAGACAGCAGGGAGCTGGTGGGAGCTGGGCCTACTTCCATCAGCCTCAGACTTAAGGGAGCAAAATGTAGCTGTTATATCAGATGTTGAAGTCAACCAGTTGTGAAACATTTCCCTCAAAAAATCTGCACTTTTTTTTTAATCCCCAAGTAACAAAGTAACCACTGGAGTCATTGTATTTTACTGTTTAAGGCCAGACTATTCAGAGCTTTAGAGAGATTTTGGAAGCCCATATTTGGATACCTCAAAGGGACCTGCTTTTGTTGGCTTTAGTAATGCAGAGAGAAAATGTGGACCAATAATATTAACAATAAGTGCCAACAGTATGCTAAGTACATGCATGTGCATATACAAGTAAAGACAGTCCCTACCCTGTGGATCTTCCAGCCCAAGAGGCAACAAACAGAGCAGGCTGTAACAAAGGACTAAGCACTGGACTTGGTATCTCTCTTTGCTAGGTACTCGGTGAATCGCTTATCTCAGTTTCCCCAACGCTAAACTGGAGATAGTGTTACTACTTCAAAAGGGCATAGCTCCAATTATTTAGTTCATGTTCATGGTATGCTTTGAAGACGCTAATACGTGTATATACTGTAAACTCTGTAAGAACTGACAAATCCAAAACCAGGGACAGGGGGAAGCTCTGGCAGGCCATTTTAAGTTTCCACTTTTCTGAAATGAATCCAGTGACCACAATGTTACCAGTACCCTAT